AGGTGACGTTCATATTCCAGAAACAACTGACCGTCATGTTCATGATTTTCTAATAGTCCCCATTACGTTCAATACACTTCCTGTGCCGCTGTACCCACTTCCGGTAAATGTCTGCATACCACTCTGGAGTGTAACTTCTTAATGCGGACCTCACATCATATTTGATCTCATCTTCTGTATCAAACCTCCAACCCCTCAAATCTGCTTTCAGTCGAGGGAAAACATAAAAGCCTAAGGGGGCGAGATCGGGGCTATAAGGGGGATGACGTAGCCGCTTATATAGTAAGAAGTCAATAGTAAGGAGTGTCTCGTCTGCGCGGTGTGCTGGAACGTTATCTTGATGAAAATTAAATTTTCGATGTCGCACCCTGCTCGCTTTTTCCTGATAGCGTTCGTTACATCCCTCCGCACAACCTGTTAATAACAAATTCATTTTATTTGAAACTACCACAAATGCGGCAAATTAGAAGAATAATAGTTTCTTTCACTTTTTGTTATATTTCATATACTTTTCACCTTACATATTAATAAACATAGAAATTTAGTAAACACATATCATGCGACATAATTAATGCTTGCCTTTTGATAGTACTCTTTGTTGACTGTCGCCGATCTTGGCACCGCATGTTGCAACAGCATACCCTGGCTATCCATGAAGAAAATATACATAACTTTCTCCGCCCTATTGCAGGTTTTCGCCTTCTTGGGGGGGGGGGAGGTGATGAAGGTCGCTTCCACACCATCGACTCTCGTTTACTCTCCGGGTCGTAAAAGTTCACCCACATCTCATCCGTAGTGATAATGCGCTTTAGGAATCGTTCGCCGTCTCTATCATATCGCCGTAAAAATTCTCGGGAAGCGTGAACACGGGTTGCTTTGTTTTCATCTGTAAGTAACTTAGGTACCCAGCGGGCGCATACCTTATTCATGTTTAAATCCTTTGTCACTATCTTATGTACAGTTCCATGACACAGCCCGGCGGTGTCTGCGCTATGATCAATCGACTTTCTCCGATCTTTGGCGATGACGTCCTTCACATCTTGGATGTTATTTATGAACATCCTCCTTCTGATTCAAAAACTTCCAGGTATCAGTCGGAGTCATTAAATATATGCGGGAAAATAGCAGTTCTTTGTCTGTTTTCCTTAAAATATGTAGATTTAATGATATCATAATTCTATGGTGCAATTTATTCGTCCTTCTTTTATGCACCCTTCTCTTTTAGTACCACATACTGATTATTTGTTTTTTTGTTTGTTTGGATTTTTACGGCACGTCAACACATAACTGGCCATATCGTGCCGAATGCTATCATAGGCTTAAAATATTATGTAAAACATTGTAAATGACAATAGAAATGAGCCAATTAGATCCTAGAATACAAGTTTATCTCTTTTAAATAATCAATTATGTTTTTTGATGGAATTGTATTAAAAAGTTCTTTGAGTGAATTTACAGAATAAAATCTATTACGGGCCTGTGAAAAATCATGACATTCAAGAAGAAAATGCTTGACAGTAAAATTTTCATTACAACCTACACAGAAAGGGACATTGTCATTTGTGAGGAGATAAGAGTGGGTAATTTTAGTGTGTCCAATTCGGCATCGAAGAAGAACTGTTTGATCACGGCGGTTTGACAGAGATAGAGATGGTGACATATCAAGAGATGGGTTTATATCGTGAAGTTTATTAAAAACGGCATTGTCCCAATTTGCTTTCCATTCAGATGATACGAGTTTATTTATAGCCGGTCTAAAATCACAAGCAGGTAACAATAAGTCAGTTTTTTGAAAATTTAATGATTGTTTAGCTAAAGTATCTCCTTTTTCATTTCCTCGTATTCCTACATGGCTTGGAATCCAATATAATTTACTACTTTGACAAACCATAGCCAAGGTGATATTTTTCAAATTGCCGAATTCCCGTTCCAGACAATATAGTTACATGCTTACCCAGGGTTCTACCCAACTAAGCCTGCGTCACAATACACTCCGATAAGGTTTACGATGGGGTACCGATGTCTGAACGGGCTGATATTGCCAATTTTTAAAGGTCTCCGGCCGGTGACCCTCCGGTGTCAAGTGACCGGTGAGGCACCGTACGGGTAATCGGAGAATTTAAGTGCAGAATTATTTTCTTCCGGCATCCGGTACATCGTCAGCTCACCGTAGCAGACACGGTAAAACACAATCCGATACCCGGCCGGGCACCTTTTGTTATCGATTACATACCGGTTAAAATTTTCACCTCCTAGGTGCCAAATATTCCTCCAGATTCCAAGCGGTATCTGAGCGGTCACCGAAGGGGTCTCGGCAGGTTACTGACCGGGACCCGGATGGACACAGGACGTTGCACGTATGGTCCTTAGGAGTCCACAAGGATAGTGTTGAGGTTATTAAAGAGACCTTACGGCAGGTGAAGCCATGGACTGTGAATTAGGCGACCCGTGTTCAATTTTCGGACGACGGTGAAGGTCACTTTCGTTGTAAAAAAGTTATCAGTACCTTGCAAACGTGAAAGTCTATTACTGTTTAACTGCTTGACAGACTGGCCAGGAATGATGCGGTGGCTGAACTGTGCTCTGATGTGTATATTCAATATGAAAAACAAGATCAACAAGGAAAGGCGGCGTTCAATGAACGCAACCCCCATATGACTCAGCAACAAGAACCAATGGCAAGGAGCCCGGGCGGACCCCAAACATAAAAAGGACAGGGCAACGACACGTTAATCATTAAATGATAAATAATTTGTAACTGACTAGGAATTCAAAGAAAATAATAATAGGCCCACAAAGGGGAAGGGGACAGGAGACCGGGGGAAGGGGGGGGGGGGTTAATCAAAGAAATAAAAACTAGAGGCAATGGGGAAGATACTTACCGTAGACGAGAAAACAACAAGGGACACAAGCAAAAGTGTCACCAAAACAGTATGAAACAACATAGACATACATCTGAGGAACACAGTGGGGCGCCGCCTTGGAACGGTCAGCAGCATAATAATGACTGCTGGGGAGTTTAAACCGGTTAATGGTGCACCAAACCTCGCTCTTAGCCCCACCATGTTCCTATAAACGAGACAGTGTAAATAAAATGAATCCCCGCCAAGTGAAATTCTAACAGTTGTCATGGTTACAAAAGGTTAAATAAGTAAAACACTAAAATGATCATGTAGAAACATATAAAAGTAAACCCAATGACCATAACAAAAGTACTCAATGTCCTAAAGGAAGACAGAGCAACAAGAAAATCACCTACAAGGGCCCGACGAAGCAAGGCAGAAGACGAACATTAAGACAATTCAGACCCAAAGGGCTTTACGAACTATCCATCATAGAGTCTCCCACTTGGTCCGTCAGATGCAATCAAAAGAGGAAAGCGTAGTGTCCAACTGTAAAAGGGTTGAACACTAAACATGCAGTATGTCTTAAAATAGTAGGGTCATAACCTCTTTTAATAAAACGTTTAATAATTTTAGTAAAAACAGCAGAAAAATTACCATGACCCAAAATCTTACGAAGTTTGTAAACCACATCGCCATAAAAACCAGGCTGGCTAATCCCTTGTCGTAGAAGAGTTTTTAAATCACTATTGAATTTAGAAATTAAATCAAAGTTACGATTGTAAAATTTAGTAAAATATTTCCGTAATTTATGATAGCGGTAGCCCTGTTTTAGAAGCTTGCTGGTAATAAAAATATTCCAGTTGACTTACTGTCATAGTCCTCAATACCACCATCATTCTCTTATTAGCCAGCGTGCAGTGCTGAATCGGTTAAATCACTAGACTTGTAATCTTGACTTTGTGGGTTCGATTCCCGGGATGACCAACTGAAATAACTAAAAATCTTTCGGTCGAGACTTAAAGTGCTTAAACACTTAAACTCAATTACACACACATATTCTATCAGTTTTCACACACGTCAGATGTTTCTTAAAGTTTTCAATTTTCATTTACAATCTTTTGTGGAAAACTTTGATTTCCGATTGTAATATACCTTCCAAAACAGAAAGCAAAGAAGGGATGGGCAAGTAATCAGAAGGGAAGAAGGAAAGGAAAAATGCCAACAAAAGAGGTGGTGTGAATAACGGCCGGAAAATGGGATACCATGCCATACGAATACCGTACGACAGTCGACCGAATATCGCAGGTATACTTTACCGTCACCGTACGGTTGTTGCAAATAGGCCAGAGAACGGAAGGCAATTGGACATTTATCGTACGGTAGTCTATCGATTACCTTTAGAATATCGACCGGTGTCAGGAAAAAAGATGCCAAGGGTTTTCATCGGGTGACCAGGCGAGTACCCTTCGGAAACCGTCCGAATACCTAATGGACCACAGAGTGAGACCGTCAGCCCACTTCTTCCCGGACATGATTGAAATGTTTCTCTCCGATCTCAAATTATCAACGGTGTCCCATCGATCCCTCTATACCGGCTGGTCCCAGCTTGTAATGTGACGTAGGTTTTATAATCTACATCTCGCCGTTACAATCTTCCTCAGTACTGTAACTTTGCGTCAATTGTGCAAATTGTAGTCCATGTTTACAGTAATTAAACGTATCATAGTTGCATTCTTACATTTTACGTGTAATAATTATTGATATATAAAAATACATTCTTCCAAGAATTGTAAGTTAAGACGGTGTAAAGTAACGCCTCATCTGGTCTTTATAACGGCAAACAAGTAGAACACACGTCATACAGCTTTCAATGATTTCATAAATATATTTAAACGTGATATGGGTAATATCTAATGAGCTTTAACACAAACTGTACAATAAGACGTATAATTTGATTTTTCAGATGAATATGAAATGTATCTTACTGTAATTTTCATTTATATTTTCATTCGAGCGCGCTGCTTGCTCGTAATGAGTTTTAATCATAATTAATTTAGCATAAATTATCGCCTCTGTGTATCACACATTTTTGGAAAGTTTGCCCAGAAAATAACAGAAAAAAGTACAATTCGCAATATCATATTTTATTAAATTGATTTCATACACTAATATTACATACAATATTTTTTTTTTATAAATATTAAATAAAACATTTTAGCATAAAATTATGTGATGACACCATAAAATTGATGGCACCACTATTTAATTTAAATTGGATATTTATACTCAAATGCTTGCAATATAATAAACAGAATAATGACAATCAAAAAAACATGATTATGGTGTCTTGTATTTGACAAACAAAGAATAACAAAGAAATTGTCATATTTAAATCAGATATTTTTACAACATGTCTAAGTACATATGTTTTACATGTTGCTGCGTATGTTGCTTTCCTATTTCAAGCAGAAATACATATGTAAATATGTATTTTAAACATGTAATGGAACAATATCCTAATGTAGTATTCGGACTGTTCAAGATATTCAATAAAACAATATAGACACATTTATTTATACAATTGATGTAATCACTTTCGAGTATTACCTGCACAATCTGCTTGTATGAATTCATTTTATAGTGGTACAATAGTTAGTATATGTTTTGCACTTATTATCCTTTCCTTACTACGTTAGGTAATAAAATTTTTCAAATATTTACATTCTACGATGGACGAATCCAGCATTATTCTGACAATCAAAATTTTGGTTTTATATTTCACAAATAAACGGCCTGCTTGTAGTGCAAACTGTCGAATCATACCAATATGAATTGCTATGGATAATAATACAAAGACCACTATGTGGTTCTCCAGATGCCCAGTGGAAGAATTGTTTCTTGGAACCATTTATGGTCAACCATGCTGAACTTGTGTTCTTGCGCTGACCATCAATGTAAATGTGTGTATTAAATCCCTGCAGTAATTTCGTAACATCACCATTCTTCAACTCTGAATCAATGTTTATCACGTGACCACCATCTACCTGACACTGCTTTTCTGCGTCATTAAATGATTTCCTTTCGACATACAATTTTACACAAAATCCATTTGCAGTCAGATTATAAGCCTTGGAACAAATTCCTTCACATATGCCGATGTCTGTTTCCGTCGTTAACTTATCCCCTGATTGATATCTGCCACACTTTCTCGTTCGTATCCGTGAATCTATGTACCCTTCTCTTAACGCACCACATTCTGACCATTGTGTCCAGTCATAGCAAGGGTGGAGATTTTCAAGGTTCCGAATGGCCATTCCTAACAAAGTAATTACTGGCTTATTCAACGTTCTTCCAAGTTTTAACAACATTTCGCCAGTAATATCTTTCTCAGCTGTTCCGTTACTTTGTATCAATGACGCCGAGGAAATGTCCATTGTAACTATTACCACTGAGAAAATAAACACTAAAAATACCTTTCCTCCTCTCATTTTCATTTCAAATAACGTGTTACGCCTAACGTTTAATATCTTCGTTATGTTCAGAGAAGGTTTTGTTTCAAAGAATTGATAATTAAACTTTATGACAAAGAATAAAATTTTAAAGTGAATGTTCTCTTCTTTGTAGTACAAAACAAACTCTTTATGTAATCCGAGTACTTTGAATTTGTGACGCACGGCTTATTCTAAATGATTTGCAAAGATATCCTAACATATTTGCTTTGAAGTAATAACATGTCTTGGAAGTAGCCAATGTTTTCCTTGAACATTTCTCGCTGTATAGATTATACTTAACGAAAATATCTCACTTTATCATTTGTACAGATTGCAAATTATTTTTACTTGCAACCAAACATTGCTTTATCAAATTTTGATAGAGTTCAAAGGTTTGTTTACCTGTCGGAATTGAAGGTTATTTAGACAGCGCAATCTTCATTAGTTGGCAGTTTAGCCAATGTAATATCATAACGGCAACAACATTTTGAGGTAAGGTGATCTTAGATTAGATAGCTTGAAATTGTATAAATGTTCTTCCTGAGTGTAAAGATAATAGAAGAAGATTTATTTGCATAGTACTTGGAATTTCTTGATAGAAAAAATATCTTCTTAAGATAACTGAGCAATCCTTGTAAAATTTTAGAAGTTTCATTTCGAGCAAGGGCCAATATAAAAACTTACCCTGTTGAAACGTTGAATGGTTATCCTTTGCCAACAATATAAGGCCAGACCCGTCTGAACAGCATTAAAATTTGATCAGATTATACACTTTTGGCTCACTAACTACAAATCTTCTAAAATAATTTCGATATCCCAGAAAAATAAAAATAGGCATTGTAAGAAATGAAAGCTGGAAAAGAACTTCAGTTGAAGAGCTCAATAACTATACGGTATTGTACATGTACGCCATTTTTAGAGTTGTCTAAAGACATGCAAATCTTTTTAACATTACCAATGCACATGTTTGCCGTATTTAAACATTCGCGATATGGCTCTTCTGAACATTATGAATTTTTTCCCGTGAATATGTATTATTTTAATCAGTACATGTAATTCTAAAACACAAACAGGAAAACATAACAGTTGAAATCAGTCTTATGTTATTGCTTTTTTGTTGTTTTATTTTCAGTTATGATTAAATTTTTCTGCCTTATTGGTAACTTGAATTTGCATGAACAAAAATATTATAATATTGTGTTTAATGTTCAGTTTTTTACCCTAAGATACAATCTGGCAGAATGTTTTATGGTTTAATGTCAGATCAGATAGAAAGTCGTTTTATTTGTGTCATTGTCTTAGCTTTGTTTTTGGCTACTAAACAATAAAAATGAGTGTATATCAATATTGGAAAGAAAAGCCAGAAAAATGTCAATGGAGTCTTAGGAGACAATTAAATATCCAATGCTGATGTTTCATCGGTATGGCGATTCAAAACATTAAAGTGTTCATAAGGTTTTGGATCAAACAACGGGGAAGATTTGAGAACATGTGTTCCGATGATCATAACTTAACGGAAAACGGATTCCATGTTTAAGGAATTCAATGTCGGGAATCCATAATTATGCATAATAAATTGATGGTTGGCGCAGAATAAGATTTTTAACCCGGTACCTAAAGTCAGATAATGTTCTTCGTATCATGATATTATGATAACAATTTTAAATTTATAATT